TTAGTTAATAACAATATTATGTAAATAGTATTCAATAGTAGAGATAATAACTGTATTAATAATATAGCAGACATGTGAATCAATTATATATTTTGTTTTTGCAATTTGGATAAGTTGGAAGAATTCAGAAATAATTAATTTTGTTTGTTTAGATTGTCTATTATTTAAAGTAAACTAGCAACCTAAAAATTTGAAGGGTTGTTTAAAAGAATGAAGTAGAAGAAGATGATTATTATAAGAGATATGAGTATAGTTAGATGGAGGTTTATTAATAATTAGAATAGATTTTTAGAGATTAACTTGGATGTTTGTTATAGCATAAAATGATTCAGCTATAGATAGTATATGAGATAACTCAGTTTGTGAAGAAGTGACCCAAAGAGTATTGTCTATATGTGCTAAAACAGAACATTGTTTTTGTAATAAGTTAGTTGTTTGGAGTTTTAGATTGGTGGTCCAAGTAGATTGTAGAGTATACCTAAGAACTTTTGAGTATATGTATGAAATAAGTAGATCATAATAAATTTGCTATAATAAAAGTGTAATTGTTTCATCTTAGTCAATACCATTGTAAACTGGATAAGAGAGGGTAAAACCAAGATTGGTAATAACTTGGTTGTAATGATCATTAAAGAAATCAATAAGGATGTTAATAATAAATAAAGGAAATGAGAGCCAAGAAAGTGAATGTTTAAAAAGAGCAAAGTTTACAGAATCATATGCTTTGCTTATATCTTGTAAGAGTAACCAAATATCTTTGTGATTACAGGTAGCATCTTCAATAAGATTATTGAGAATATGAATAAGAATTCAAATGCTATTATTAGGGAATGCAATATAGTTAAAAGGTAAGAGAATAGGGTTTGAAAAAAATACAGAGCTAAGTCAGTTTGTAAGAATTTTTGTGTAAAGTTTGTGAATGTTTTTGATCAGACTGATAGGACATATAAGATTAAGGTCACTATCAAAGTATTACATTTAGGAATAAAATAAATTCTATTATGTTTTTATTGTTTAGAAATTCTGTTATTAAGAAGACAATAATTAAAGAGAGCTATAATAGCAGAAGTGCATTGGGGGCTAATGTATTTAAGCATTTCATAACTAATGCCTGTAGGACTACAGGCTTTGTTTTTAGGTAGTTGTGAAAGGGTTCGAAGAAGTTCTTTATTAGTAATGGGAATATTAAGTGAATGATACCAATTTGGATTAATGTAAGAAAGTGAAAGGTATTGTTGTTGCCAAAAATTATTAAAGAGGCTTTTATTAATAGGTCTAAGTACAGTCCAATCATGAAAATAGGATTGGACATGTTGTTTAATAAGTGATGGATCTGTAATGAGTTGGTTTGATAATTTTATGTTTAAAAAATAAACAGGTTGATAATAGTAATTAAGGATACTATTAATAGCCTAATTAGGATGTGTTATAAGAGTAACACATCTTTTTTCAGTAGTTTTATTAATTTGTTGTTGAAGTAAAAGAGAGTTTTCAAGATGATAGGCATGATAAAGTTGTTTTCAAATGAAGTGGGCATGTTGAAGCCATAGTTGAATACAGAAGGAGTTGACGGAGCTAAGTAATTGAAGGTCACATTGTGACTGTTTATTAATTTGGAAGATGTTTTGGTTAATACTTGAGATATTAGAAAATTGGATGAGTTTTTTAACAAGTTTAATGATATGTCTGAATTTTTTTAAGAGAGAGATGTAGTAAAGTACTATGAGATAAGTATTAGTGATTGTAACTTCATTTGTAAGAGATTTTGTTAGGGATTATATGAGTGGCAGAATAGATTATAGTGCATTGAATTTTGTGCCAAGTAGTTTCAATATTTTCATTAGTAGTACTATTAATAGGAGTTTTGTATAGTAAAAGTTATTGAATTAAAGTATTAGCAAAAGAGTTTCAGTCTTCTGTAATTATCATTTATAATTAAATATATGATGACTAATCTCAGTATATTTCCATAGAGGTTTACTATAGGCATATGGGAATGTCCAGATAGAGATAAGAATCAAGTAGTTACTTGAGATAGAGGTTTGACTGTTGTCAAAATTATAGGAAAGAAAGAATTGTATATTAAATTAGTTAGTCCAGATATAGTCAATGTGACTACTGCTAGTATTGTTAGACTAAGTAAAGTGTTTATTGTTAAAATAGGCTCCAATATTATACATATTAGAGTGATTAAGAAAGTTAATGAGTTTATATTTGAAAGAAGAACTGTAGGTATGATCCTGTGTATTAAAATCACTAAGAATAATAGAATGAAGATAAAGTTGAGAGGCTTGTTAAATCCAGTTGATTACTGTGTTTTGAGTTTGGTTGTGAATAGTTATGTCAATAGATGAGAGGCATACTGAGATGATAGGAAATTTGACATTGCTTTGAAAGAAAATATTAAATGCAATGACTTCTCTTGGGTGAGTATAAACACTATGAATGTGAGATTTAAGATGATTACAAATCATAATGGCTGTTCCTTCTACAGAAGTAGAAGAGTTAGACCAATAATAGGTGAAAAAGTTGTTGTTGCAGAAAAGAAGATTGGTTTTGTCAGAAATTTTTTTTCAGTAATGCTAGCAATAGATATATCATTATTAAGACAGTAATCTTGCCAACTTCTCTTTTTGTTAGATCATTAAAGTTTCTGACATTGTGTGTAGTGATAGTTAGGTTAAGGTGATGAGGACTTGAGTCAAAAGAATGTAAAGCAGAGTTATAGTCAATAGAAGTTGAGTAATAGTTATTAGAAAAGAAATTAGATAAAATAGGAGTAGAACTAAAGAAGTTGGATTTGAGAGGAAGGTTATAGAATAGAGAGAAAAGCTGTGAGGTAATAATTATATGATCTGACAAGAGAGTGTTATTAAGAAGGTATATATAGGTTTCATTATAAGATGAGTTAACAGAAAATGTAATACTAGATACAGTTTTGTTGTTATTATGTTTGTCAATATATTTAATTAAGGTTTAAATGGTTTGACTATGAGGGAGAAGTAGTAGATTGTAATAGAGAAGAAATTTGTTAAAGCATGTGTGAAGATTATAAGAGATTAAAGATATTGTAAATGATTTTTCAAAATTGTCTTTTATAGGGTCAATCACCATATGCTTAGCTCTTACAGCTGTGCAAGGTACCATCAGCTAGATATTGTTCAAACTCATGTATATTATTTATAATATTAATCTGATTATTCTCAAGAAATCAGTTAAAGCCCTGCATAAGTTTGTCTTTCTGCAAAAAAATGTCAGAAGAATTATTATAATTATTAAAAGAAACTGTATTTTGCATATATATTAACTTATAAATCATTATAGCTCTATATAATAAAATAAGCAAATTAGTAAAAATAATAAAATTTAAAAATTATATATACAAATTACTTTTTTTAATTTTATTTTTATTGAATTTATTTTTTCTTCTATTTCTGCATATGATAAGTGTATTTTCTGCTTGAATATATAAATAAGTAATAACATCTTATAACAGGAATCTATTATTAATGCAATGCAATGCATTTTGCTTATGTTTACTCAATATTTATCAAACTTTAATTGCATTGATGCTACTATTTGACAAATAAAAGGATTTATATTACTGATATTTTGTTCAATGTGTATTTTGATTTTTACTAACTCAGCAAGAAAAATATTTGATATCAAATATATGTTCTCTAAAATAATATTTGAAACTAAATTAAAATTAATAAAGATTAGTATACTTTAGTAAATAAAAAAACCCAAAAAAATAATAATAATAATTCGTACACAAAAACATATTATTTAATGAATTGATGTGAAAGATTGTATTACAGACTTTCAATCACCTTTAGAGAGTTAATAATCTATCTATTTAAAAAAAAAATTATTTAAACTATTAACATCTCCAATTACTTTTATAAAACAGTTTTAAAAATTTACAAATCTTCTTAACTTATTCTTAATCTTCATTAAAGAGCATAATTTCACCAAAATTTGAATTTTGAAATGCAAGTTATTCAAACACTTTTTTGTATGAAATGGTAGATGATAGTATGAGATATACAGAATTCTATCAGGTAGGTACATCAAGTGTTGGTCAAAGGTATAACATGAACTCAGCACAACTTCCAATTACTGCATCTTCAAAGTTTTATTATTGATGTTATGAGCTATAAATCTACTTAACACATTCTCTTATTTTATATATAATATTTCTAACTATTTTGAGACCAATGCTGACTATAAGGTTCAGAATGTGAGCACAACACCATTGATGCAATAAAGTTTTATTAACAATAAGCATATTTTGTTTCTTCAGTTTATGTTTCATATTTTTTATTGCAGCATTATTGCTAGTTGCATTATTCACAGTAATCACTAATGTCTTTGACATAATATTTCATTTATTAAAAAACTTCAAAAGTACTTTGTTAATAACAATTTCTGTATATAGTACAAGAATTAATTTAAACCCTAAACTAACTTCTGAAGTTTTCACTTTTTATTAATGAGAGTCTATTGTACTATTATATAGATTTGTTCTTTAAGATTACCAATAATCTTCATACAATCTTCATGTACCATCTTCTTCTTCACTAATTTATATTGATATTACAAGTTATTTACAAATTTTATAAACTCTTCATGTTCAACTATGCTAAATTGATATGAATGTCAAATTATCATTTTCATTATATCTTGATGACTTCTTTTTTAGAAAAATTTAAAGACAACAATGTCTAACTCAGATAATTAGAACATTTTTTGTAATTTATCAACCTTTAAGTATTTTTTACATTTTGTATTTTTTATATGATAAATTAAGAAACTAGTTCCTATATTATTATCATGTTTCAAAACATTTTTACAATATACATATTAAACAAGATCATCTAACAAATAACATAAAAATCAACTAGTTAACAACATTAATAATTATAATATTTCAAAAAAAATATTGTATTTTTTTGAGGATCATGTTTAATGAAATGGTCTTCTTTAAAAACCTATGATTATAAATCATTTCTTTTAGATTTTTTATTAGTAACAGTTGTTTCAGGATCTTTGTTGACAGTAATCATAGTGATTACTTCAGAACTTATGTTAACAGTGGTTACTTCAGGTTTTTTAGGTCTTTCATTTTTACTAATAGTAGAATGGATGCTTTGCATTTCTAATTATAATGGATGAATGTTAATAGGGCTATTTTTGGAACATAATTTTTTCAGGTATGAATTATCAGTATATCATCATCCATTATTTATATGTATTTAAAAAAAATGTTTATTAAAATAGAATAATTCAAATCAGAATAAATATGTAAATGACTTGTTTAAAAAATTTTTTATCAACTTTGGTATGTATCATACAATCTTTTTTAAACAAAAAAAAATTTTTCAGACCTGTTTCTTGTAATTCTACCACTTTTTTTTATTTACTTAATATTTATTATTGTTATTATTTTTATTTTTCTTTTGATAAAGATTTTTAAATCCTTTTGACCTATGTTCGCACACCAGACCTACTTGTCTGGTTTCTTGATTCTTTACTGGGTATTTATTATTATGTATGATACAGAAAATTAAAGAACCTCAATTACTATCAGACCTACTTGCCTGGCTTCTTGATTCTTTACTGGATATTTATTATTATGTATGGTACAAAAATTAAATAACCTCAATCACTTTATATATAAAAAAAAAGATCAAGAGATAAGTTAAACGGCTTATACAAAAAGGCTAGAATTCTACTGATAATTTAAGGTGTGCCCTATCAGTTTATGCATTATCTCTATAAAGGAATCAAGGCTTACATAAAATACAAAGAATAAATCGATTTTATTGTTCCTTTATGCACCTACGACATACACAAAATAATGATAAAAGTAAAATTAGTAAATATGCACACTTGTATAACAATAGAACATGTGCCATAATTCATATCAAATCTGAACCTTTAGATAATTAGACAGGCACTTTTTATTTATTATAGAGAAAAGTACCTCTAATGCTAAATGTAAAATTTTATTTCAAAGAATTTAATCGAGTAAAAAACAGGTTATTATAGCAAATTTCATGTCGGATTTGCAGAGCATAAATGTACCCGGATATTACCGGGTTTAGCCGGGTATGTTTTTAGAGCCCAAGCCCGGCCCGGCATTTGTTAGGCCCGACTCAAGTCTGGACCGCATAATAAAATATGAGCCCGAATTAGGCCCAAGCCCGGCCCGGCCCGCTAATGTATGGGCTTAGCCCGGCCCATCCCGGACCCTAGTTGCAACCAACTAAAAAATAATGACCAACTAATCGATCGAAAAAATTTTGACGATTTGTAACACTAGAGTAAGATTAGCTTTAGGGTTAGAAGAGGTTATGGTTTATACTAAATTTTACGCGTGAATATTTTTTGATTAAACCCCATAAGCTGTTTTATTATTAGAATTTGAGATATCAATATACCCGTGAGTAAAATTAACAATAATTTATTAAATACAGTATATATTTAATAAACATGTAGTCTAGCCCGCTTGCAGTTAAAATTTATTCAAAGAGAAGGTAAGAAAATTAAACAAACATAAATATGAAGATATATTGTATTAAAAAATCCAGATCACTGTGCTGACCATTGCACTGATTAATTTGTCCTTTTTTTTGTTTAATTTTAGGGGCTCAGGGATAACGTTTAAACAAAGTTTATTATTTATAGTACATATTTAAGTAAAAGCAGAAATATTAATTATTCAAAATCAAAATAATAAATATTAAATATTAAATAGCTAACGACAGAATTTAATAAATATATATTATTAAAGTTATAAATTTTATCGGTTAATATCAAACTCAAATTCTTTACTTTGATAATTATGATTATCTAAATTATAACAATTAATTTTTAGTAAATATACAGGCAACGTTTACTAATTATTATAAGTACTATACCTTGATAGTGTGTATCCTCATTATATTTTCGCCTTTTATTTTTATTATGAATATCTATTGTAAAATTTCGTATTAACATGATAATAATTATATTAAAGTTTATTTGTTACGTAGCAGATTTTCATTTTACATACAGTTATAAGCCAAATTGTTTTCGTAAAACTGATGCGTTTTTGGAATATTAAGATTAGAATGTGAGGGTGATGCTGATTCTTGTTGATAATAGTACAAAATTCGGTTGCTGCATAGAAAACTTAAGTCCATTTTCGATAATTGGTTATTCTGAGGTGATGTTTTTATTTCATTATTTCTGTTAGCATTATTATTTAATATAAATAGGTAAGATGTATTAATAACTAAAATGCATAAGAAAAATTAGAATAAAAAATATCATTTATTATACTTTTTGGCGTCAATAAAATTGTATGAAACTTCTAAAAACGTTTTATAAAAAGTTTATTTTTTGGTTTATAAAAATAAATTATTAATACAGTAATCATACCCTTTTTAATGTTGTTTATTGAATAGATACTTGATAAAATAGAATAATCTATATATTTGTAATTAATATTTTTAAGTAAGCTCGCGCATATATTAAAATTAAAAAAAAGAAACCATATTAGTAATTTTATCAAACATACTTGTAATATTATAATTTAATTTCATCCGTAGAGCAGTGTTAATTAAAGAATTTAATGATCTACTAGTATATATTGCTTGCGGATTTCTATTTTTGATATGCGTGTGCGTTATGTTTTCTGGGAAATTTATTTCTTTTTTGTCTAATTTATTGATCACATCCCAAGTAGTATTCTCAATATCTTCAGTACTTGGTCTGTTTAACGGATTTGCGTCCCAACATTTTTCCATTAAATCAATATAAGGCTGTGGTAAATTGTTAATTATTTCAGGACGAAGACCATTAAGAATATCAAGAATAAGATATTCATCATGATTACGATCAGAAAAAGGCTTTTGACCAGTTATCATTTCCCACATAATCATTCCAAAACTGTAAATATCTGATGCTGTCGTATACTTTTCTCCATTAAATATCTCTGGTGCAATATATGGAATTACCCCATATATCTCTTTTGTATCTGTTATCTCATTTGCTGGTTTGCTTATTCCAAAATCTCCTATTTTTACACCAAAATCAACATTTCTTGGATTATTAATAAGTATATTACCACTATGAAGATCACGATGAATAAGTATATTGCCACTATGAAGATCTCGATGAATAATTTTTTTATCATGAATTGTTTTGAGTCCCCATGCTATATTTCTTAACGCCCCTAGTTTTTGTTTCCAAGATATAGTAAGAAAATTTTTTGAAATATAATTATATAAATCACCATTTTCTGCAAAGGCCATTGCAATCATGTAATCTTTTGTTTCGGGATGCTGTGTGATGCCGTAATATTGGAGTATATAATAACCATCTGAACATTGAAAATAATTTTTTAACTAAGATAAACAAAAAAAGTTAACTAACAATAATAAATTATGTGAATAATATCAATATAATTATATAAGAATGCAAACCTCATTTAAAAAATCATGACTTATAGCTTCAGAACTATTAAGACATTTAAGAACAACTGTTGCATTGATAATAGCTTCTGCAAATCTTCGCTTCCGACTATTCCATTCCGTTCTTATACCATTAACACATGTCGCTTTGTATATTTTACTAAATCCTCCCTCAGAAAGATAAATGATATTTTTAAAATATTCATACGGAATAAATTCTATAAAAACCTTTTGTTTATTTTGTTTAGTAAGCCAATTATCAATAAATTTATTTCCACTTAACATTATCTGATTGCAAAAATTACATTGCTGAGCATTCTTATTGTCATGAAATTTTGACCTCTTACATTTATTGCACTTTTTTCTTAAAGGATTTCTATTTCTAGTAACCTTATTTTTTCTGTATGAAGTTGATAAATTATTGTCGATAACATTAATTATGTCCATGAATAATTTTAAATAAAATATTATCGCTATTCGGAAGGATTTCAATTGAAAAAGATAAAATTTTAGTTCTAACTTGTCTGAAAACACGAGCTATAATTTTATACTTGTAGTTATCAATTATTGTCGCAGCTAAAGCTGGAAATTTTAATATTTTAAAATAAATTTTCGGAATTCTTCGGGATAAATTTTTGGTTATTTTTTTCTTATATTTATATTAGGATTTAGATCTAATGTGAATAACAAGTGGTTTTAGTGGAATATATATTTTGAATTGGAGCCCTAATTTCCTGCTTCAGCCATCTATGGTGACAATTATTTAACGTTAATAGAAAATTATCCAATTAAAGCTCACACAAAATTGAATAAAGTGTAACAGAATATTCCTTTTTTTCCTACCAACTAGGAATGCAGATCGGAAAATTTTTGAATTCTTAGAATATTCTACAAACCATAAATGCAGATCAGAAAATTCTTTAGAATTTTTAGAATCATTCAAATGTAAAGTGTCTGTTTCATTTCATTTTTCGATTTATGTTGCTTCGAAATTAACATTGTGTTACTCATAAATTAAAATGTTATTTTTTTTTCTTAGTAAATGTGGGTCGCATAACAGTTGTTATGCGCCAAATAGACTCACACAAACTCACGTTATAACAGAAAAATAAAAGTAAATCCGTTATTGGATACGAAACATCTAATAGCTATTTATTATTTAACAATCGGTAAAAACTTTTGTAAATGTAAAAATTTTATATTTGCATATTTATTTTACATATGCTAGTTTTTTTTTGCAAGCGACCTCTTGGTCTTGTTGTCTTTATCAATATTGTAATTATTGTAATTATATACAATTTATTGCTTAAAAATATTATCAACTTATCAGGATTATTTTAACAAAG